TCATTTCATTAATAAACCTAATATTAATCTCTTTGATACGTATTTTACAGAAATAGCACACAATATAATAGTAGAGAAAACAGTAACAAATTGTGGGCAAAATGGTCGCAATGGATATCATGTATATTAAGCCACCGATGATACCATATAATAGTATTTCGTAGGCATTCATCGACACAACAATTGTCGTAATTGTGTATAAAAATGCAAATAATATGAAGTAAACGAGAAAATAGTTAATGAGTTGTTTGACAAACTTTATGCGAAACATTAATACCCGGACCAAAAGTCTATCATTTAAGCCAATCTCATAAAATAGTTTGCCACCACTTATGGCCTGTATTATGACATACCATTCCATGTGTGCCCCGGTATTCATAATATAGATCAGTCTTAAGGCCAAGACAGTCATGAATAGTGCGGACAGGTATCCCATCTCTACGATACCCCCAAAGTATTGGACGATATCCAAGTAGTAGTGAGGGAGACGACCGTTTTTATCGGACATGTATAAGTAGATAGAGATCCGGATGATATAAGTAATCAATATAAATGTCAATATAAATGATTTAATTTTCTGCACTAATTGTACTCTTTGTGGCACTTTATGAATGTTGTATACATTATATCGATAGGTTATCCAATAATTAAATAGCAATAAATCCAAGTCTTTAATAACCATTTTTGTATTGAATGTAATTGTGGTACACTTTTTCTTTAACTGTAAATATTTTCATTTATGTTTAGAATAATATACAAAATTTATTCAAAAAAATATTTGGCATTAAAATGATTCTAATAGCGGTAGTTATTATTATTATTATTATTAATAGTATTATTTATTGGTTAATAACTATAATGTTTCTTAAATAATATTTTTATAAGTTTTTATAGTTATCATAAGTTTATTTGCAATTAATTACAATTTGAAATGCCACATGATGTGACAACCTATTATACTTGTTTACGATAATAAGTCCGTTAAGACTAATTGTATAAGACACAAAAATACTGAGAACATGTTAAATATATATTTTAATTTTATATTTTACTAGACACGAGTTTCAAGATCAAATAGTCTCGATCAAGTTATCGATATTGCAAAGTATAGACACATATTATGATTAATATAAAATTAAAGAAATTGTACTTTTTATTATAATTTTTTTTATAAATAGCATTCGTGGTAGCATTGCACAAATAAATTTCATTAACCTATTGTAATATAACGTACACTACATTATATTAAATAATTCACACGATAGAAGGTAATTATTAATTTTAGATTTATTTGAAAGTACTCATGTAATAAACATTAATCTTGAAAATGAAAAATAAAAGTAAACAACAATAAATAAAATTTTGTTTACTATAAATTCACAGTAAATTGAATAAAGCATTTGAAAAATATAGTTTATAATGTTTTATTCATAAAAAATTACCGTATATATTAATGTAGAGTTTATTGCCTACCAAGCTTTTGATATTCAAATAAAGTAATAATTACATAATTTACTCTAAATTATTTTTATATTAATTATTATCAGCAAAATTCATATAAGTTAATTATTCCAATGCTAATAAAATATAAATTACATTTCTAATAGAAATTATATACGAAACATAATTTACTAGTTATTTTTGTAATTAACAAGTTTCTTTCAATATGTCCCAAAATCAATAGCATGTTTTACTTAGTTCTCGTGTATATACTTAATGAATAAATTAAAGTGCAGAATATTCCTGAAGTTAACCTGAATAAATAATAGTTTTGAAGTTCAAGAGCAATAAAAATTATATTTTTAGTATTTGCCCTTAATATACCGTAAATTACTTGTTGCCTAATAGTTAATAACAGTACAATAGTATTTATTTCTATTAATTAACTAAATGTGTTTTGAATGCCTTTGTATAGTTTAATGTGAAAAATAATTATTACATAAACGTAACGTCCGGTGCATTGTATTTTAAATAAATTATTATAATAATTGTATTCAATAATAAAAATAAATTTTGGTTTTAGTATTTATATGTATCAGCACTGCTAATTCATTTTCTAATCAGACTATTTATTAATTTAAAATTTAAATATGATAATGTAATTTATTTTTAAAAATTATCATATAAGTTATGAAATAAAATTTTAAACTAATATCGTTTATAAAATAATTTAGTATAATTTCTAATATTATATGTTTTATTAAATATTGTTAATTGTGATAATAGTTGTCTCACTTTATTTATCTATACAGTAAACACACGATAACAAATTTTTTAAATGTAAATAAAAAATTATTTGTATATATTATAAGGAAAATAACATCACATTAAATATAAACACAAAATGAGTTCAATATTATTTTCCGTTAAAAAGTAAAATTAATGTTTGAAATTAATTATGTTTTATAAGAATATAAACACAATTCTTAGTGATATTAATATTCATACGACAGATGCCATTATTATAGTGTTTCTTATATTCATACTTACAGTCGGCTTAATATATTACTTGAGATTTAAGCGGTTTGTGGGATATGTGGACAAAATACCCGGACCCAAATGTAGTCATATATTTGGGAAACTGATTGGAAATTTAGAGCTTTTCTGGACTATCAAAGTAATGACTGACTTTTCGTGTGAGTATTTCATTGCCTATAAAAATAAAGTATTATTAATAAAAGTGACTTAAACATTAATTTTAATTTTAATTTGTGTCAGACTTTGGGTTTCAAGTAATGGCAGGTCTGACCAAAACGTATCAAGATATCGGGGCAGGCATATTTAGGGCTTGGATAGGGCCCTTTCAAAATTATGTCGTTATATTTAGGGCCGACACTGTTGAGGTCATTATATATTTTTATTTTTTGCTAACTTATAACTTTATCGCTAATTAATTAATTAAATGCATATAATGTTCACATTAAGTTAGTTTAAGTTGTAAATTAGTTCATAAATTTAATAATTGTTTAAGAGCTATTAATTGTAGTTAGGTACAGTATGGACCATTTGAACTTGAAATGTATTATTTGCATCTTAGTTTAAGTATTCCTAACAATATTGTACAGTATTGCTAATGATCATATCATACAATAAATAATAGAAATACATAATCATTTAACAGACAATAATTTGTTCATTACAAACATTAAACGAAATGAGTACACTAATAATTGCGATATTGTAATAGCATTTTGTATAATAAGGTTACTTTATTACCGGTATAGTTTTATTGTAGTTTGTAGTTACATTATTGTATAGTTTATTATAAGTTTGATGACATTATACAATACAACAGTAAATAATGCTGAGCATGCCTGGCTAACATTTAATTTTATAATTACGTATACGGTATATGATATACCATACTTACTTTAATACAATAGACCATATTATCAAGCAATATTCACATCGAAAAGTCCCGCGAATATAAGTTTTTTCAACCATGGCTTGGCTTAGGATTATTGACCAGGTTTTGTATCAATTCATGGTATCAATCATATCTGAAAAAACTATTTCATTCATTAGTACTGGCGATCATTGGCGGTCTCACCGCAAACTACTGACCCCTTCGTTTCATTTCCGTATACTAGAAAACTTTGTGCCCGTTATTAACGGCCAGAAAGACATTATGATTGATATAATCGACAAACAATTGTCGCAAAACAATGGTATCATTGATGACATTCGGCCCGTTATAACCAACTGTGCGTTGGACACCATTTGCGGTAATTATAACAGAAAAAAATATTTGTCACCAAAATTATTAGCAAACAAGTAATACAAGCGCAGAGACGGCGATGGGAGTGACGGTTAAGGCCCAGACAAACGTGAACTCAGAGTACGTAAACTCATTGCGAAACGTATTGATGCTATTTCTACACCGATTCCTATCGCCATGGCTTTGGCCGGAGTTTATATATCAAATCACTTCATACGGCAAACAGTTTAAGGCAAACACCGCTGTTTTGCACGAATTCACTGATTCTGTAAATTCTGTATTCAATTCTTAGAAATTGTTTAATTATAATCTTATTATAAATGCAAACAAAAAGGTAATCAAAGAGCGAAAGACGGAACTACTGATGAAAATGAATGAAAATAAAGGCAACAAATTGGAGGAACTGGTGGAAGACATGGGCTCTAAGCGAAGGCTAGCTTTCTTGGACTCCCTGCT